CGGCGCCTTGTGCAACAATTTCTCTAGCCATTGACGTGGACCGTCTCGGGGTCCCCATTCAGGAAGACCGCAATGGCCAGCACAGCTGAGTTTGCTGCTTTCACACTTCGCTACCAAGTCATTGTTTGACCGCCTCTGGCTCTTTTCCGCCCTTCACGTGGTTGTGCGAAGTCGAGGAAGTCGGTCGACTGGCATACGCAGCACGTGGCCAAACCAGCGCAACCTATGCAGTGTGATCTATCGAGAGTGAGTTATTCCTCCCGAATACCGTTGGACGTACTTCAGCACTGCTGATCCGGTGTTCCCACCAGATTCGGGCAATGCTCCGAAGACATCGATGGTCAAACACTGAAAGTCTTTTGATGTCCTCAGCGCGCAGCGGCCAGGTGATGATGGAGCGCACCGCAGGATTGTAAACTCGACCATTGACAGAGAAGCTGATGTCACGCCTAAGCCACAGGTGACGTAGGTTCACAAAAGCTGCTCTGGCCTTCCCAATCCGGATGGGAAGAGATAAAACAGCGATGGCACCCATGCTTTTCACAATCGATTTCATGTTTCTTTGCACAGTCACGCAACGCGCATCCGACACTTTATGCCACATTGAATTATGCACGGAAAACGTAAAAGCATGGAAAAAACAAAGGCGACCTGACCTTGGTGGCACCGTCAGAGATGCCGCTGGATAAACCCTCAAACGAAGCGACTGCGGTAGCAAATAAAATCAGTTTTCTAGTTAGAACGTTGCGAATTCGGTGGCAACAAGCGATTTAACCAGTGGTTCTGGGATATCAGGTATCAGTGACCCGGAAAAGCCCTAAATCTGCCTGGTACAATGCAACATAGACTCCGTGCGAGCCGTTTGGTCACCGTAAATGGCGCAAGTTGTTGAATACAATTTTGTCTTCCGAAGTTGGTACATCGACTACCTGTCAGCGTTGACGCAACTCCTCATGCACTTTAAAAGCCTTTAATCCTCAGAAGTGATCTTGGAACATGAATTAACACGTTTTAGGCACAAAAGATCTTGATCAGTCCTCCGAAATATGCATTTAATCATTCTGTTTCAAAATGGGGACAAGAGTGCCGCCGTGCTCTAGGTCAATAACAAGGGCTAGACATCAGGCAGTGGGTGGATTTCTTTTAGTGTTCAGCTGTACAAGAGAACGGACTTACTCGCCAGGCCTCCTCCAAACAAGCAAACGTGTATCAGAGTGGCAGGCCAAAATCACATACGACAGTCTCGCTAGGTTAAAATCCGAATGTTGAGAGAGATGCCACCGAACTTAACGATACATGAGAAGCGTAGGACATTCGGAAACGGACCAACGGAGGTCAGATGATGGCAAAGTCTCGAGTTACGAACACGTTGACGAACACATAGGTTACTGATAAGCCTAGTGGTACACCATTAGCGATGATTCGGATAATACTGAATATTCTTATAACAGTCAGTCAGTTACTTCAAGTGGGTCGCCACGCTTACCAAATCTCACTAACTGAAAGCGACGACGAGACCCTTTGCAGCACATTAGGGGCCGCAACCCAAGGAAAGTCTCATCCAATATGAGGAGCTGATTCGGAGCGACAGACTGAATAAGCAGCAGTCTCAAATCAAAGACAGGATGCTGTGTAAGTAGGTAGACGGTCTTTTAGAGGTATAGAATCGCTGTCAAGACAGTGTATTCCGCGTCAGGACGCGAGAACACATATCTTAGAACAATAGTGAAGAAGCTGCAGAGCATCTTGCGAAAACCTGTGGTATACCTTACTCAGCTTATCATGATGGGGTGCTAGTGTGCCTCTAGGCCACATCACATACTTGAGCTCTTCTCAATATGGAAAAAACTGCATGTGGGAGGCAGTTGAAAACCAGTGGGGTCATGTGGACCACGGCCACCTTGTAAACAGCAAAAAAACAGTTCATTTGCAACACCTTTCCAATACATAGATCAGAGGACTGAAGACTAGAAACCCAGCGTACGAGCAGGTCGCTTGTTGTCGTGCTTGCCTCAGTGTGTGAACATTAAAGGCAGTTGTATGGCAGCAAAGTATCAGTTGAACACTGATATCATGCTGTCGATGATGATGAAAGGCAGTTAAGTAGACCGGTTTTCGGGGACTGAAAACAGACTTCGAGGTGCTTTGGATTGTCAGTAAAGACAGACGCATAGATACTTGGCGTAAAGCATGGCGGACAAATTGCCGGATGGAATAAGATAGTACAGGGAATAGGTGGAAGTTTAAGAAGGGGGGCGTCGGCAGCAACATGTTTTCGTTTGCCCGTCTGACGTATGCAGAGAGTAAGCCGATCTGTTGATGGCAACATGCGATAGTCGGTGACATGAGAATATTTTTAGTTACGGCGTCCACATTTGTATGCGGGCTAGAATACTGTCAAGGGTATCACTCCTACACAAGGGGACGATTAGGATCCTCAACCAAAACCTCGAGCTCAAAAGCCTGACCGCAAGGCAGCAGGCGGGTGTCGGCTCACTAATACAGTAGTATAAGTTCTTCAGGAACAAGTAGCCGTGCCATTTCCAACCCCCAAACCATGTGGACTAGGACACTGTCCCTCAGAGGTCTAGTTACCGATCAAATTGGTACGAAAAACTCGGCTGGCGTCAGAGTGAAACCACCCACTATAGCTGTGTCACAGAGTTATACAAAGCACCACACTGCGATAAGGTTCAGTCTCTTTGCACTGGTCAGTCGATAGCTTTGCGCCTTCAATGCTGAGCTACTTCGAGGAGTACAGCAGGCCGTCTGTCGATGAGCACCGGATGGTCGACTAAGTAGCTTATGAAGAGTTCGAAAACGAAGCTATTCAAATGCAAACCTCACCTCCAGAAAGACGTCTCTCATCCCCATTCATGCGGTTTTGCGCCCCGAGAGCGAGTTGAGCCTCAATGGCACGCTTTTCTTCTTCTTGTGCTTGAATCAGCTCTCGCTGTTGTTCGATTTGAGCCATGATTGTATCGCGTTCCGCTACTAATCGAGCACGTTCATCATACGAAGCAGCGCTTTGCTAAGGAAAAACGAAAAAATCCCAGGTAAAAGTGTAAATCTATGAGTATTTAAAACAGTTCGATT